TTTTTTCTGGTTGACTGCTATTAAATTTGGACATTTTACTTTTAAAAAATATTTTCAGGGACATTTTGGTCTATGCTTTACAGGTATGGGTACAAAGTTACCATAATATGACGAATGATAGGGAATAGCTCTAAATCCATAGGCGTGTGTGACTTTCTGTCCTTTCAGATTTCGCTCCTGGCAGTCTAGACTCGTCCATGTCTTTGGTGTGCCTGTTCCTTCTTTGGGGAGACAGGATTCCTTAGCCCACCTCGCCAGTGGAGCGCTTTTAATTCTCGTGGAGATGTGAGGATAGTTAGAATAGCTGCTCCTTCAAAATGCTGAATCCTTAAAACCACCAGACAGCAAGGCTTCTGTGCTCTATTACTTCAGGGTTTCTGTAAATACTGAGCCCCCATAGAGTTTGAATACAATGTCTTTATACAGTTTTGCTTATAATCTTTTGCTTTTTTTTTTTTTTTGGTGACTGAGTCTTACTTTGTCACCCTTGGTAGAGTGCTCTTGTGTCATAGCTCACAGCAACCTCAAACTCTTGGGCTCAAGCGATTCTCTTGCCTCAGCCCTCCTGTCCCCCAAGTAGCTGGGACTACAGGCACCCGCAACAATGTCTGGTAATGTTTAGAGATGGGATCTTGCTCTTACTCAGGCTGGTCTGGAACCCATGAGCTCAGGCAATCCATCTGCCTTGGCCTCCCAGATATTAGGATTACAGGAGTGAGCCACTGCACCTGGCCTCTGTTTATATTTAAAGGCATTGAACTTTAACTGTACAACTATAAACCAAAATGTATCTGAAGCTAAATCATAGCTTTTCATATAGTCACTGTTAATATCACTTTATAACTACTCTATAGAAGTTCCGCTTCCGGGTTAACAATATTACTATTTAAATATTCCTCTTTGACTAAAATGTTGGGTTTTTTATTGTTTTCATAAGCATCTATTAATTTCTCAAAAAGACTTCTGTTGTCAGCTGTAAGTGTGGCCCCTTCTCATTGGTGACGCTGTTTCAGGACACTTACCGCCGGAGGCAGATGCAGAGGACCGTCACCCGGCAGATGTCTTTTGATCTCACGAAGCTGCTGGTTACTGAGGACTGGTTCAGTGACATCAGTCCTCAGACCATGAGAAGGTTACTTAATATTGTTTCTGTAACAGGTGACTTTTGTTTCTTATTGTTTGATAGATAATAAGCATAAGCCTTAATATTCACAAGACAATTTAATTTCAAAGACTAGGGGTCTGTGTGGTTACATGTTTACATTGCTGAATACCAGCTTTATCTGTATTAAGTCAGTATTATAATGAAACTCAACTATCAGTTATACACAATTATTTGAAAATTGGATGATTTAAAACTCTTACTTCGTCGTGGATGTAATTTTTCTCTTTGTGTAAAGATTATTTTATGCTCACTTATGTAACTGAGTATAATTAACTTATAATTTAAAATGTTGAAATTCAGATTTTATATTTGTTATTCTATTTTAATTTTCACATAGTATTTTGAATAAAAATATTGGCAGCAAAATTGAGGATTATTGCCCTGTGACTGAATTCCTTGCATGGAATTCTTATCTCCAGTTGTTAATTCTTACTTACTAATTAGCTTTAGGGCAATCATAAATACTTGTGATTTAGTTTGTAAAATATATGTATCTGTATTACATTGATTAGTACCTTGTAATATTTACTAATGTGAACTCTGTTATGATCCACTAGAATAGTGTTTTATATTAATGTTAGGGTTCATGCAATGAACTTTATTCTGTATGAAGTTGTATCTAATATATTTGCAATATTTTTGGTAATTAAATCCTTTAAATGAGGTCTCAAACCTCACTGTAATAACTATAGTTGAACAACAGAAATGTTCTAGCATGTTCTCACCATATACTCATTTAACACATGTGTAGCCAGTGCCTTAGGCCAGGTACTGGTCTGGGCTTATGGAGATAAGCAGTGAACATGGGAAAGTCCCTGCACTAATAGGGTAGCCTGAAAGATGCTGTGTCATGTCACAGCATGTGCCATGAAACCAAGACTGCGGAGAGGAGATAGAGTTCCCTA